CCCTTGAGCCCAAGACCCTGCAGGAGCGATGGGGACGGTGTCCTGGGGTGCCAGGGCTGAAGGGACCCTCAGCAGAACCCGGGTTGGGGGCGTCTCAGGGTTAACAAGGTTTTCTCTATTGCCAGGGTGACGGGGATCGAACTCTCTCCGCGATTTATTTTAATTAGAACTACATAATACGGCGTTAGGCAGCACCAAAGGAATCTTAAGGGGAAGGGGAGATGCTGAAGGTGGGTCGTTCCCGAGGCTTCGGGTCCGCCAGGTCCACTGACTCACCAGGAGAAAGGGCTGCGGCACCGAGGGACGCTGCGCGTCAGCACGGGGTGGTAAATCGCAGGTCAGCTCCCTCTTAATTTGTCCGGCGGGGAGTAAGGCTGAAAATATTTCTAAAACCATTTGCTTTTTTCCTCTGGAGGGAGATAAGAGTAAATATGAATCATTCTTTTAAAAGTTTGAGACGCGTTTTGTTCCGAGAAGAAATACGTATATTTCTTTACAGTAAGAAGTTCGCAGGAAACTTCAGGAAGCTTTTATTAAGGGCTTGTAACCTCTCTGAAGCTGGAGACTTTTTTTTTCTATACATACAGCACTTGCGTAACAAGTTCTTAACTGTGAATGGGATTCCTAGGTGCAGTTGCAATAAACTAATTAATAGTATCATTCATGGTATCATACCTCATTTGTATGTTTACTATAAGTAAAGAGGAATTCATCGGCAGGAGTACAGTGGTTGCGACTTTAAACACGATACTCTTGGGGGAAAGTTACAGCTAACGCGTGCACCGCCAGGCAATGCGATTGGTAAGGCTACCAAAAGTGCTCAAGAAAATAAGTTTTGGAGCAAAAAGCAGCAAAACCAAGCCCATGAAGAGCTAGCGCTGGGCAGGTCAGTGGCATGGAAAAAGCAACGTGGGTAGTGTCACCCAGCTAGTCAAACCGGGGACGGAAAATAAAAAGGAAACGTGTGTGTCAAAGGGATGGGTCGGGGATGATCCCTATTTATTCGGAAACAAGCGCTCACAGGTAGGGTTTGGGTGGTTTTTAATCCAGAGGCAGCAAGGACCGATGTTGTCACCAGATGCTTGTGGGACAAATCACTGAGAAGGCCGCGCAGGGTACAAAAGGGAATGCAAAACAGTGGTCAAAGGAGAAGTAAATGTCCTGGCCATGGGCTGCAGCAGCTCAGGATACATTTAGAGCCTCAAGAGAAGAGGCAAATAATGGGTCAATATTTCCTATACAGCCACGTATTTCATTCAAAAGCAAATAACAGGTCAATATTTCTGCTTATTTCAGTCGAGGAGTAAGTTCTTAAACAGCTACCAGGTGGCTGAAGTAAGGAGAAACGTCTGGGGTGATAAAACACGACCCAGCGTTTCACCGTACCGGCATCCCCACGATTAGCTAAAATGAGACTTTTTGTTCATACCAAGAAAATATTAACCCTTGGGAGCAGGCAGTGTGTCTAACGTAGTGATTGCTCGAGCTGCGTCCCTGCTCGGGCTGAAACGCTCTCTGGCCAATGCCGCTCCTATTTTTAATCGCTGCGCTATGAAAAGCCCCGTTTCACAGTGCCTGAATTTGTGCTTTACAGGCAGAGACCTGGGAGCACGTTTATCACGCGGCTGTCATCGCTTTTGAGGAAACGGGCCCAGAGCGCTTTGGATGTTGTCCTAAAGCCACCCAATAAGGCGGGTGTAGCGTGGCCTTTTGCACTTGGACAGCGTGCTGCTGCAGGCGATGCTGCAAAGAGCAAATCGATAGAGAGCCGGACCCAGGGCGATTTTTGCCCCGGGATAAACGATAGCCTGAATTTTCATTTATTAAATTGCAGTCTGTCTTGCTTACATTGTTTCACAGGGAGATGTTTACCCTCCTGAAAAGCTAAAATGTTTTCTCTACTTGCAACATAAAAGCCCGGGAGTGAGTATTGTCGCTGGAGATAATGTTACAGCCTTAGCAAGATGACACTTAAAAACTTCATCAGCCTCCAAGAATTTCGGAAATAGTGATGAACAAAGGTAGCAAGTGTTAAGAGCAGGCAGCGCTTGCAAGAAGTGCCCTTACAAGCGGCGTTTTCAAGAGCTTTTTTCTGCTTCCAGTTATCACTAGAGCTGCACAGCTCAGACCGTTTTTAAATAATTATACTTAACAGTTAAAAAACCCTCCTGTGCTAAAATAAATTTTAGCTAAGATGGTTTTATGCTTTGGAGCCTCATATGACACTCAATCTTTCTTGTGTGACTGTTGTAACAAGTCAAATTCATGTATTTTGATACTCCGCACGTGATAAAGATACTTGGATCACTTAAGCCTGTACAAAACTGCAGTGCTCGCATGTCATTTATCTTAAAATCCTATTGTAGCTCTCGTGAAATGTAATTTCTTCAGTGAATGGAAATTTATACTGACAGAGGTGTTATAAAACATGGAAAATACTGGGGGAAGGGGACCCAACGTTTCCTTTATCTCTTCAAGTATTCACTAACGGTGATTTATTTTTCAGCTCGGCGTTGGTTCGTTGCAGGTTACAGAGCCCTGGTGCAATTAAAGAGACCCGTTTCCAGTCTTCTTAAGCAAAACTGGCATTACTTGCAACAGGTGAGAAATGCGTGCTGCAGACCCAAGACAGCAAACTGGTTCACAGGCTGCAGTTTCCATATCGGTTCCTAAAGCTGCTTGTAGGAAATCACTCAGCCTAAAGAAACTCCTGGGATCCCAGCCTCTAATTCCCATTTCAAAATGCATGGGTAAGAAAAAACTATTTATATTCATAATCTTGAGTAAATAAATTGTCACTTTAACGACACATTTTGTTGTAATTAAGCACTTCCCGGTAATAACCAACCCACACTATGAAGCCGTTTCTTAATATAATGGTAAGCTAACTTCTCGGTTGTGAGCAGAATTAGGAAGCTTTTAAAAGCACAGACCAATTAATACAGCAGGGCGATGTTGCACAGTTATCAACGTGTGGAAATAAGGGGCGTTTGCTAAAGAACTTTTTCCTTATTTTCAAGAAATGCTGTTGCTTTAAGGTCAGTATCTCACCTGCAGAATTTCCCAGCAGGTTTTATACCCAGTATTAGCCTGACTCTGCTCTCGGTGGCTTTGCCTGACTCTAAAGGGAACAGACCTGAGGCAGACTTAAACCTTCCTCAGCTTTCTAAGGACTCACTGCTGTCACCTTTCCGTAATGCAGCTACAATTAACTTTGCTAGAATTTCTATATTTGAAGCAGCTTTAAATTAGAGCCTGAACTTCCAGACTTGGATGCAGATGGTCTTTGCTACTGTCTGTACGAGCCCTTGGTTTTCACACTAAAAAAGCCCACCCACGTTGACAAATTTGCCCTTTGCGGTCTGGCTTCAGTGCAGCCAGTAAAAATAGCGAGTGATACGGCAGACAGAATGGGCCCTAAACTATATGAAGGTATTTTTTGATAGCTTTTCTTAGCTCCAGTCTAAAGAGCAAGGCATCAGATGTTGACAGATTGGAGGGGAATATACCAAGCCAAAGTGTCTGTTACCGAGATGCCCATAAACCAACAGTTTTGCCATCCTCCAGAATTTGAACTTTTCTCTTGGTTTTCAGTTGTATTTTGATTAAAGCGTAAATACCAGCAACCGGCATGTGTCAGCCAGTGTCAGAGCCGCACGCCAAAGCTTTGTTCAGGTTGGATCTTTAGCGTCGATTTACTCGTCCGTGGATTTTGTTAGGACTTCTGGGGCATAGCTGATTACTTTTACCGCTGTAACCAGCAGAGTCATCGTATAATTATTTCCCTTTAAATCCAGGAGAACTTGTCTGGCCTATTGGGCGGGGAATTTAATTGCAAGAAGGCTCTGGAGGATGGATGGCTGGTGCTGGAAGGTAGCTGTACCGTTAGCATGTTACCCGCCCCCAAAAAGGAGAATCCAGGCTCTAATCCATACCCCCAAGTCATGCCAGCTAGCCGGGAACCAAAGCACGCCCACACTCGAGTTGGAGACTTCTGTGCTCAGACAAGGAGGATTACGGACATCATATGACTAATTCTGCAATGACGGTATATGCTTAATTGGTAAAGGACTGCATTTTCTATCTTTTTTTAACCCAGGGCATAGCGTCAAAGGTCTGCCTGATGTTTGAGGTTCCTTTCAGGTATTTTCTTCATTGAGACTCACTGTACTTAAGGTTACTGTGGCCGCTGGCTTTGTCTTACGCCCTTAAGTGCTACTGTGCTTTTTAGTGATGAGAAACCAGCATTCAAATTGCCCTGAAACACCAGGCTGTGCTGCTCTTGCAGCTCCCGGAACAACTTCCCTGAACCTCAGGTACAAAAGCTCCGGCTGTTGCAAAAGCCGGTGGCCCGGAGTCAGGAAAAGCACAGTAAACAGACTACAGTACTGAACTTTAGACATTCATTTTAATGCCCTGCTTCCGAGCTCTCTGCCTCAGTTTCCCTGTAAAATACAAATACAGCATTGGTGATGCTTAGCTCATAAAAAAAAGTAAATGTCTCTCTTAACTTCCGAGAATGCATGCTGCAGTAAGTTGAAGTCAATGTAAATTCGGTGGAAGGAAGATGTTTTCTATCGGTTGATGGTACTTAACCATCCAAACAGATTACCAAGTGCTATGGCAGCAA